TGGTAGAGATGTGAAGACGATGTCATCAGTCTATCACCCTAGAAGATCTAGTTTTGAGGTGGTCAGTCCCTCGGTCTGGATAGTTTTGTTCCATAGCCTGAAGCAATGTGAAGTTAAAACAACAGTATAAAGACTTATATACTATGGGAAGGAGAGGTGTAGTCCACTAGTGGTAACAGCCTGGTTGATCAGGCCCTAATCCACCGGGAGACCTGGCCATGGACCGGGCTGAGGGGGCGTTGACCCCGGAACATCCTCCAGGTATAGGAGTTGGATAAGATATTTGTAATTTATCCCCCAAACCTTATGTATTGCATACTCCTATATCTTTAATAAATGATAAACTACCTCTACAAATCATGGTTTACCTGGAGTCTACCTGAAGGGTATTCCGGGGATAAACGCCCCCGCGACCCGGTTCACGACCAGGCCTCGCAGTGGATCAGGGCCTGATCAACCAGGCTGTTACTGCTAGCCGCACGTAGTCAAACGTACGAACCACAACCCGGTGTATCCTTTAAGCTTTAAGTAAGTTTACTCAGGTATACACAAATACAGTCACATAGATTATCATACATAGCTGCATATATATAGACAACCTGGGACAACCCAAAAAAAGTCAGGGGCTAATTTCCATTGGGGTCCTTTAATTAGCACATTGCACAGTAAAATATACCCATCTATGCATTCTTTTTGTATTTATAAGTACAAATTTGGGAAGGAATAAGTCAAATGGAAGAAATTGTGCCACCAGGAGTATTTTTTTTGGAAGAAATATATATACCTGGCAGCAGCCGCCAGCAGACAGACCTCAGAACACCAGTTGAAGCCTGGGCATGAGGAGGAGGGCACGCGGTGGGCAGCTCCTGGGTATCAAGGGCTTCTCTCAGTGAATTGGGGCTTCTAACGGAATTCATCTATCAAGTTTCGTAACCAGATACCCAGGGAAGAGTTCCGGAATATTTTGAGTGAGTATGGTGGAGTGAGAATACTTAGTTGTGAGAAGGCTTAGGCCAGTAGGCCTAAAACTTTCCTTAAATCTGCTGCCCATGTACACCTTGTAGTAAGTAGGTTAATAATGGTATAATGTATTGACAAGTTGATGATTTGGACACATGTGTAACAGTTGGGTATCTTTGTTGAAACGTTTCGCCTACATAGGCCTGGTCACAGACCGGGCCGCGGGGGCGTTGACCCCCGAAACTCTCTCCAGGTAAACTCCAGGTAAACACAGCAGACTTCTTCAGTCAGATACAGAGGAAATAAATGGTATAAAATATCGACATAATGGAAATATAAACACATATGCAGTATAATGTGATCCTTTATTGACAACGTTTCGCCCACCCAGTGGGCTTTTTTCAAGTCACAAACAGATCTGTTTGTGACTTGAAAAAGCCCGCTTTGTCGATATTATATACCCGTAGCTTGATCGTTAGTACACTCGGCTCACACACTAAGGTTCGGGGATCGATCCCCGGTAAGTAAGTAAGTAAGTTTATTCAGGTATACACAAATACAGTTACATAGAATTATCATACATAGCAGCATATGTGTAGAGAACCTAGGATAACCCAAAAAAGTCAGACAGAGTGACTTATTTCCATTGGGGTCCATTGGGGTACGGGTTCATCTATCAGCGAAATAGGTACCTGGGTGTCTGCGTGTTAGCCGACTAGCGTGTCGCATCCTGGGGACAAAATTGACCAAATTTGCCCGAAATGCTCTGCATAACAAGGGCCTTTCTGTGTAGTAGTATGTCATTGATGTCAGCTAAGCCTGTATACCTTGTACATGTACTTGTAAAAATAAGTATTATTTTGACTTGATTATTAGTAGCACTGTAGTACATTCATGGAGAACTACATCCATTGGTGCCGTGCATGCGACAGGTAATTGGTAAATGGGAAGCAAACAGTTCCATTTTTATGCATCAAGAGCCCTTCACCCACATCAAGGTGGTATGTTCTTATAAGACACTAGGAGCCGGGAGAGAGTGAAATTAGTAGCGATAAGCGAAGAGGCGGGACCAGGAACTGTAAATCGACCCCTGCAACATATAGGTGAATATTCCCCCCCCCCCCTGTGTGTTTCTTTTTTTAAATGATACATACCATGCTTGGGATCCGGACAAAAGCATCCCCCCCATTCCCCGAGTTAAAGTGCAAAATAGGACAAAAACACCTTATGTTAAATTTTTTTTTTTGTCCCAGGGCTCCCCTCAAGGGTGGTTCCCTGATCCTGGTGAGGGGCTTTTGATCCAGGAAACAACCTGACCGTCCTATTCTCGGATAGAGCCTGATTACCTCCTATTTCCCAGGAAGAATGCAGTAATAATATTGTGTCGGGATTTTGCTGTACACAACACCACCCCTCAAGTGAGAATCCTTGATGCTGGTGAGGGGCTCATGGTGGATCAGGGATCATGGTGGATGAGGGCTCATGGTGGATGAGGGCTCATGGTGGATGAGGGCTCATGGTGGATGAGGGCTCATGGTGGATGAGGGCTCATGGAGGATGAGAGCTCATGGTGGATGAGGGCTCATGGTGGATGAGGGCTCATGGTGGATGAGGGCTCATGGTGGATCAGGGATCATGGTGGATGAGGGCTCATGGTGGATGAGGGCTCATGGTGGATGAGGGCTCATGGTGGATGAGGGCTCATGGTGGATGAGGGCTCATGGTGGATGAGGGCTCATGGTGGATGAGGGCTCATGGTGGATGAGGGCTCATGGTGGATGAGGGCTCATGGTGGATGAGGGCTCATGGAGGATGAGAGCTCATGGTGGATGAGGGCTCATGGTGGATGAGGGCTCATGGTGGATGAGGGCTCATGGTGGATGAGGGTCATGGTGGATGAGGGCTCATGGTGGATGAGAGCTCATGGTGGATCAGGGATCATGGTGGATCAGGGCTCATGGTGGATCAGGACTCATGGTGGATCAGGGATC